CCGGGGTAGCAAAACTTGATGGGGGGAGAAGAAGAGGGCTGAGTCACCTCACGCCCCCCCGGGAATTTCTTCATGCCCTCCAGTTTGGGAGCCCATGCTCTATGCCATCATCTAAAATCTGTTGAATTTTAGCATGAATTTAGCAGGGGGCTGAACAAAGACCCCAGCTATCTTACCCATTACAAAGATAGCTTCCCCAATTATCACCTCTAATACTATTAACTCACAGACATCTACCCTTCCCCACCTCTAATATCATTAACTCACTGGCATTCACCTTCCTTTCCTCCCCCCCCCCCCCCCGCATCCCCCTTCTGTTCTGAAATGTGATTTGTCCTTTTCATATGTGTTCATTTTTTTTAATTGTACCCTTTGGTATATATGGCTGTGACTATTTTCTTCCACTACTTGATCTGAGGAAGTGGTTCTGGCCCATGAAAACTCATCACCTAATAAACCATCTTGTTAGTCTTTAAAGTGCTACATTGTCCTGTTCTTGCTAAGATAAGACAGTAGCTGCTACTGAATGTTGACCCACAAGTTATTTTAATGCAATTAAAAATCCTAATCCTGATCCTGATGTTATCAGTCACATGACGTCAGTGCTTGTTTTTATCGTGAGACATCAGCCTATTGCTAGATATCTTGTGACTAGCATTAGCTATTTAGAGACAGCAGGGTTGTCACTTCTGGGCATGTTTAGCTCTGTGCCTGTGAGGGGTCGCTGTCTGTGCTTGAGGCCCCATTGGTGGGAGCTGATCCGCACTGCTGTGTGTGAGCTACAGGGCTTTGTAGCTCAGGAAATGCTCTTCAGGAAGGTGCCACAGGGCTGCAGAGTTCAGATTAGGGGTCAGGTTTTTCTCCAGTCAGAGGCAGTGATTTGTATCCTCATTTCTGTGCTGGACACTTTCTCCTGTCCACCCAGGAGGTGCCCCCCTCCCGAGGGTGCAGTGTGTGCGTGGGGGGTGTCTGAGGCGGGGGGATGGAGGGGCAGACTATGTATGTGAGGGGGGGTCCAATGTGCTCCTGCCTAGGGTGGGATGTGGGGGGGGTGAGGCTGGGGAAGCACAGGGATGGTGTATGTGTGTGGGGTCTGAGGCAGGGAGGTGGAGAGGGTGTGGGGGGGGTCTGAAGAGGGGGTAAAGGGGACAGGGTCTGTGGGAGGATCTGAGAAGGGGCAGGGTATGTGGAGAGTTTGTGGGGGTGTGTGAAGAGGGAGGTGGGGGTCTGTGGAGGGTTTGTGGTTTGTGTGGGGGTGGGCAGAGTCTATGGGAGTCTGAAGAGGCGGGAGGGGGGGCAG